GACCTCAAATCAGCCTCTCAACTCCATGAGCAAGACAGCAGATCTGCCCTGCAACAGGTGCTACAGTCTAAGGAGGTGTCTCGACATGTCATCAGATGTCGACCAAGACAGCCTTTTGAGCACACGCCCCAAAACACATACTGCCCAATAGCTGGCCTTTGCTGGAAACTCCTAGCATTTGTCTCAATAAAAAAAAAAAAAAAAAAAAAAAAAAAACGAGCTGCCCATTTTGACAGCAATTTTACCGTTATTCCCATGTGGCTCAGAACAAAACACAGATGATGCGCACTATGCTGTCTAGATAGGCAGCTCGCTAGAAGTTAAAACGCAGCCTTGACTAGAAGTGTACAAGCCAATAATCTACCAAATCGATCCATGTAGCTAAAACAAACAATAAAAACAAACACGATGCTCACAATGCTGTCTACCTAGGGAGCTCACAATGAATTTAAACGCAGCCCCTAGACTAGGAGTGACCAGAAAAATCACAGGAGAATGAACAGAGGCAGGGTCAAGTTCTAAGTAACACTCCCTTGCACAGATTTATGTATGCGGTTATCATAAAACATTCGCGATTAGAAATTGAGTAACTGTGAGGAGGTTTGTGCATTGACTGAATGAGTAGCCATCGGGCCACGCTGAGCCGAACTCATTTAAAGCACGCGGAGCAGGGACACAGGTCGCGTGCTTAGATTCTCACTCCGCGTTTAAAGTTAAACATCTATGGCAAACCTCTCGTCAAGTGTAAAACTTTAATACAAACGTCAACGCTCAAAGTAAAGTTTAATGCGTCTGTTTGTGGTGTAAGAACAGCTAACAAGCTAATGCTGAGCTCGTAGGCCGGCAGCGTGACATGCGCTACAAAACCCGAGAGCGTCGCTTTATTTATTTTAAAGCAAAGGGTGTCAGAGCTTCACCTGAGAGCAAAAGTATGAGCCTTGAATGCCAAGTTTGATGCAGGTGGGACACTGGAGCTTGGCTTCGCTGTGGCAGCCTTCCGTCTCGCACTCCCGTGTCTCCACCGCCGCCATGCTTCTGCTGCTGTCGGTCAGAGAGAGAGAGCCGCTGCTGTCTGCTGCTGCAGTCATCTGAGATCAGAGGGAGGGACTCCGACACCACCTTGCGAATCAATGCAAAATGGAGACTTTATTTACCTCTTTGATGTTTCTTCGGAGTTCCTCATTGAAGCTATATGTATTTATATCAGACAAAGTTAGTTCACATATATCTCCCTCTTTCAATGAAAATAGTTCCAAAACAAGTCAAGGCATCAAAAGTCACCAAGCAACGCCGACCAAAAGCTGGACTGGAGCACCGTAATTGAGTGGAAAGACTTCTTCCCCTGATCCGCTCACTGATTCTCCACTCCGGGTTTTAATTTGCCGCACTTTGTTAATTTCTGCAGAAACCCGGAAAAACGTTTATAAAAACACAAATGAGCCAAATATAGAAAACACAAAATTTAGCTGTGTTTGAGTTATCCTGGATTATGAAAAGTTGGCTTGTATTTTGTTCATAAATTCAAATCAATCTACAAAATCATTTGCAAAATGATCGAGTTACCAATGTCACCAATGTCGTCATACTGGTTCATCAGCGCATTCCGGTTGCAAAAATAAACAAATATGCCGTGTTGTGTGGTAGGATGATAAAATCTAGAGTCCAAAAATAGAAAACTTATTTTTTTCCGGAGACCACACTGTTTTTATACCAAGCGCAGATGTCTTTGGCTAACAGCCATCAGAAGAGCTGAATGGAGTGAGGACCTAATTAAGAATGCTCGACTCTCGACTCTATCCCGGCTATATCACAGTGTTTTATAGATATATAATAGGTATATGACTGAAGAGAGAATGATGAGTATGGCGGGAGGTCTATCTCTTCCCGGTAATTGTGCGTTTCGTGTAAAATACAAAAGTGAAAGCATGCTGAACTATTAACAAGAGCTGTTTATCCGTTAGGAAAATTGGCTGAACTGCAGTAGTTTGTCTGTTATTTCTCTCTATAATGTAAAGCCTGTAATGGATAAGCCAACTGCTGTGTATGAGAAAGTCTTACCTCTGATATATACTTGGTGACAAAGTCTGTGGGTGTCACCATTCAAAATGAAAGCGCAGCTTTTCGCTTATTATCTCTATTGCTCATGGTCATAAATTAAAATAAGGACGCATGACAGCTGAGCGGGACTCTGCAAAATAAACCCTGAAACTCTGACCAATGTGAGGAGAGATAACTCACACGTGACTTGTTTTAGCTCTTTTGGTCCATTTCAAAACTCCTGCTGTGTGAAAGCGAACCGCACCAAGATTAAAGAACATTGTAACAACTTTTTCTTAATTGTTTGGCTAGACAGAACCTCTGTGTTATTTGCAAACTCTAAACAGTGAAATCATATTAGCAGCCAATGACTATCAAAGTACAACATTGTTCAGAGTCAAATAAACACTGTTAATGTTGTTTTCAAGTCACATTTGCATGCTAATTCCAATCGAATATTCAGAGTAACATGGTAAACAATATAGAGACTTCTAAATGAAGGAATGTGTAAATATAAAACTAACTTTACCTCTATCTGCTGTTATAGTTTGATGAAAACATTATGTAAATATATATATGTCGCATCGATGAGAATCTTGTGTAAATTCCAGCATGAAGATTGGCTATCTGTACTGGCCAGTACAAATTGAGATCATACAGTTTTCACCATTAATTCATGAGAAAGACTTCGAGCCAATCAGTGCGCCCTGTTGTGAATGAGATGCAACTTCATTAATATGCATGAAATAGCTTTAAAGACTCTTTTACCTGTTACAGTGTTTAGAGAGATGCTACATTGTATTGCCAACCGTGATTCAAACAAGTATTAGAAAAATTGTACAAAGACATGAGTCATCAGTGTTCCATTTTTAAAATGTGCTGAAACAAAAGTTTTGTTTTCATTTCCCCGCAGTGAGAGCACAGCTCGCGTGTAGACCAAGCAGTTGGATTACAGTGGTCTGCTAACACACAACAAAAATATGTTTGTTAGGAACATTTTTTAGCTGAGAGCTTTTCACATCTGGAAAAGGTGAATCCTGGATATGCTGCTCCTCTTCTTTTAAAAAAAGAAGTGTTGGCCGATCAGAAAGAAGAAAACAGTGTGCATGTTGACATCATGGGGCGAAAACTCTGGTTGGATCGTCCACATGAACACATTGTACCCAAAGTTTTGGAAAATCTTTACCCTGGCTGGAGTTTTTAGAAAGGTTCTGTTTCAGTCACCTGACACTACTTTTTCGTTTAGACAAATAGCAAAACTGTGTCAAAAAAGTGCAATTTTGAAAATACCTGTGTTTGTGTGGACAGGGTTTTAGTGTTTTAGGTTTCATGGCTAAATCTGGTGGTCAATTCTCATAGATTGCACAGTCTATCAGTAAGGGCAAAGTGTAAAGGTTTAATTAGCAGAGCAATAGCCCAGTTTTTATTGAAATGCACACAACATTATGAGTGACATATCAGAGTTCAAAAAAGGACAAATTGCTGGTGGGCGTCTTGCTGGTGCATCTGGATTGTTTCCTAAAAACAAAAACAAAACTGTTCACACTCACCTCAAAATTAAATGTGCACCTCAACTCTCCTGTTTCCACCAGAACTGTTAGTTTTGAGCTCCACAGGGTCAATATAAATGTCTAGGCTGCTATAACCAAATCTTTGGTTACTCATGCCAATGCCAAATGTCAGTTTCAATGATGCCAGTTTTGAAAATCTTGGTTGAAACATATTGTTCTCTGATGAGTCCACCTTCACTGTCTTTCCCACATCCTGGAGAGTAACGTTGTGGAGAAGCCCCAAAGAAGTGAACCACCCAGACTGTTACATGCCTTGAGTGATCATGGAAGAGGATTAGTGATGGGCTGCAATATCATGGCATTCCCTTGGCTCAATATTTGTGCTGATGGGCATGACACTGCCAAGGACTACCAAACCATTCTGAAGGGCCATGTGCACCCAATGGTTCAAACATTATATCATAAAGGCAGTGCTGTTTATCAGGATGATGATACACTAATGCACACAGCAAGACATAATGGCTTGATGAACATGGACGTGAAGTTGAACATCTCCAATGGACTACACCAGGGGTCACCAACCCTGTTCCTGGAGAGCTACCTTCCTGTTCAGTTGCAACCCTGACCAAACACACCTGTTTGTAATTATCAAGTGCTGCTTTAGGTACTATTAATTGGTTCAGGTATGTTTGATCAGGGTTGGGACTGAATTCTGCAGGAAGGTAGCTCTCCAGGAACAGGGTTGGTGACCCCTGGACTACACAGTAACCAGATCGTAATATTATTGAGTCACTTTGGCGTGTTTTAAAGGAGCAACTCAGGAAACATTTCCCTCCACCAGCATCACATAGTGACCTGGCCACCTCAAAATCCCTCTGGCCACTGTCCAGGACTTGTATCTGTGATTCCCAAGACTAATTGATGCTACATTGGCTGCAAAAGGAGGTCCTACTAAACCCAGGTGTTTTAGTTTCATTGTTCAAGCCCTGTATTTATGCATGTTTTTTGTATGTTTATTAATTAATTAATTAATTTATTTATTTGTTTATTAATTAATTCATTTATTTATTCATTTAATAATTTATTTAACAGTCTGTGGAACCAAAAGAAAACCATTAGAATTAAAAAAAATTTGAAACCAAGTTTCAAAATAATGTTATGCAACAAATTGTTCTTAATATACTGAAAATAATTGTACTTAAATTTAATTGAATCCGTCTTCCATTTAATTTCCATTCCGACTGTGTAGCATCAGAATTAGGGTGAGTTTCTCTTTACTACACTTGACTAGGTGTTGATCTGCCCCACACCAGAGTAATCTGAACTAATCCTTTTAGTGTTTGTCCTAATCTACAGTAGTGTTTGGGAATGTCACACTCCTGTTCAGACAGAGAATGTCACTTCTTTCTTGGGACAGCAGTGTGTGAGATTCTTCATGTACCCCGCAGAACGATGCGCCCACTTCTGTATGCAGATCTCTCGTTGTGCTTGGCTTTGGTGGTCTGTGCTCAGAGTCCAGCATGTCCTTCTCTGTGCACGTGTGTGCTCCAGGGTCGCAGTGATACCAAAGGACTGAGGTACATATTGGCTTTTCTGTAATCTCTTTTGTCTGGTCAATTCTGTGCTCCTGAGTTTTTCAATCCACACACTTTCTCCTCAACTGTCTTGTTTTCTTGTAGTCTAGCAGAGACTGTTCTATTATAGAAAAATGTGTGTGGTAAAAGTAATGATTCTCTCTTTTAAATTATTTACATTCTTTACACACTTAATTGTTCTTATAAGAACTGTTCACTGATTTTAAAGGGAACCCAACATTATTTTTCTGTGGAAAAAACATTTTGGAATCTTTTTTTAAGGACCACTGTACAATATATTTGTAAATTACAGTTTTCTCCATTGGTTTGACTCATTTCTTGAAACAGAAATTACATTCTCAAAACAACATGGACAAACCTCCAAACCACTTGGCAATTGTTCACAACAGACTTGAATTTCTCATTCATTTGATCAAATTGCATGTCCAAGTACATATTTGCAAATGATTGAGTACAGATAGCCTACATTTAGCACATTTTCCGAGTGAATAGATCTTGTTGATCTAAACTGATTGTTAATTCTCAGTCTAATGGTTGTTCTCTCCAAAATGTGTCAGCGTCATTTCATTGTATATGTCATTACATGCACAATAGTCTGTTCAATTGTCAAAATTTGTCAAGACCATAATACCATGAATACCATACAGAAGGTGAATCCTTGGAACAATTGATTACTGTAGGGGATGGTTGCGACATTCATGTAGTTTCTTCCCTCGTTGCATCGCAAAGGAGAATATTCACTGTGATGTGGACGAGAATCTGTGGCCACAGACTGTAGCGTGTGGATGGTTAGGAGAGCGAGGACATGCTCTATTTATAGCACTCTAGTTTTTTGTTTGTGTGTTTATATTACAGTTTATAATGCTGTATACAGTTTCTTTTTGCTCTGATATATGGAAGTTACTTTGTGTGTGGTTGATCATTACATTAAAAAAAAGGAGTTACCATTTCCTTGGCAGTATGAGTACAATGTGTGACGTCAAACCTTGGAGGCTACTCTCACTCTAAAATCCTATTTCTTTTTTTTTAGTTTTATACATAATTGTATTCTGTAAGCTAAACAGTACAGTAACCATTGTCAATGAAGGACTGGGCTAAGACTCTAAGGTGGACTTACACTTTTAGTGGTCCTTTGCCATAGTGACAAAACATCTAAACATTTTGACTTGCAGTGCTTACACAATGCCAAAGGGACGAAGCATTTTGGGGGCACTGACGGTTTAAATGAAAAGGAAATTTAGTTTTGACACATGAGTGAACTGTTTTGGGAAAGGTATGAGCTGTTGCAGGTGAACCATGGTGTAGTGCTGAACCATCCACATTATTTTGGCAAAAGCACCAACAGTGTTGAGAATGTCCGGTCTGTTTCAAGAAATGAACCAAAGTAATTGAGAAGGATATTTGCCATTTTTGTGGCACTGACTTTTTATATGGGAAAGGAATTTAGTTTTGATGCATGAGTGTTGGAGAGATACAGTATGAGCTTTTGTAAGTGTTTTTGGAGAGATATGAGCTTTTGCAACTGAGCTATAGTGTTGTGCTAAACTGTAATACTGTTTTGCCAAATGATCTTTCAATTTTGAGAATGTAATTTCTGTTTTAAGAAATAAGCCAAACCATCGGAGAAAAACAGTAACAATTTTCCATATGTTGCACTCAAAAAATATTTTTTCTTGCTCGTTCAAACTACTTATTTAAAATGAGCTGAAACAACACAATTCTTGGGATTTCATTAGGACAACTTAATTTTTTTATGTTCAATAAAAAAATTGCACATAAATTTGAGATTGTTTAAAGTTTTTACAATTAAATTTAATTCAAGATTTATACAATTAATTAATTATACAATTTTATAATTAAAGTTTTTACAGTGTAATCTCTTATGCTAAGTTCAGACTGGATGATTTTCAAAGTAGTGATGTCACAGATGTTTTCACACTGCATGACTATCTGGGCTAGCGTTTTGTTGCTGCTTTGTTTACACTGCAAGATGGATCAGCGACAGGGACTTTCACATTGCATGACTTTACAATAGGAAGAATTGCCGACAACTTCGTCCAAACTGCGTCATAGAGCCAAAAACACGTAGTATATCTTTTGTTATAAACTACGTAATGAGAAAGAAGCCTTTAATGGGGTAGAAAATGTACAAAGTTGCTCACCTGGGTTTGAAGGGAATTATCCATTTCTCCTCAACTTAAGTTGATAATAAATTAATTTCTTTTTTAACTTTTTGTATGAAACGTCAAACAGACACGGGCGCTCCTGTCAAACCTCCACTAGTTTTTCCTCCATTTCGTGGGTCCAAAATAAACAGAAAACGATCGCTTTTAACTTCTCCCCCAACCTCCCGCTGGCCTGCAGGTATACACACACACACACACACACACACACACACACACACACACACACACACACACACACACACACACACACACACACACACACAAGTGAATGCTGCTGTCTCATTGGCTGTAGGTAATCGCCGATGTTATTTTCAGTCAAAACTCATTTCACACAGCATTATTTGAATCGCCGACAGTTCCAGATATTTAGCACACTAAATATCTAACAGCCATCTGCAACTTATCGGCGATTCTCTTAGATCACGTCTTTGATAGTTCACACTGTGTGATTGTCACTTGAGTGCACGAGCACCGATTTGACTGTGATTTCAGACATTTGTCGGCGATTTCTCAAAACCTGTTGGCGAGCCAAAATCGGGGCTAAAATCACACAGTCTGAACTAGGCATTACAGAGATTAATGTTTTATTTAATATTACTATTCATTTATGCTTTTAAATTGCACGGTGGGACCTTGATGTACATCATTTTTGATGTTGAAAAGTTTGAAAAATGTGCTTTTATTGACATTTTAAATTATTTAATGTGATGTATTATATGGTTATAAACTGGTAATAAGCTGCCAGTTTTTTCTTTTTGTTTTTTTAAAGACTTAGTTTTCTATAGATTATTTATTGTACAATAAATTGTTTTAAATTAAATTGTTTCCACTAGAACTAGTAATAGTCACTTTAATAAATTCCATAGAAAATTGCAAATTTTCATCATCAAAAGTTGACAGAGCAGAGATCAACATCACATAATAAAATTCACAACTGTAAATACACAGAAAAAAAAGTTAATTATGAAATACGGAAAGTGTTAATTATCGGTTATATTTTAGTGTATAATAAATTATTGGATTTACATACCTATATCAAGGTATTATTATCAACAGCTTACAGCTATGAAAACCTGTTAGCTGCAAATCTATTAATTTTTTTATTTTATTTTTATATTTATTTATATATTGTACAGGGATTATGAATAAGAGCTGTATAAATATATTTGGCATGGTAAGCTGCACACAGGTCGGAAAGATTTAGCATTACAATTTCATTTTCACTTAGAATTTAGGATTATTATTCAATTTTTAATTATATTTGTTTTTTTCACAGAACTGTGCTTTGACTGTGATTTCAGACATTTGTCGGCGATTTCTCAAAACCTGTTGGCGAGCCAAAATCGGGGCTAAAATCACACAGTCTGAACTAGGCATTACAGAGATTAATGTTTTATTTAATATTACTATTCATTTATGCTTTTAAATTGCACGGTGGGACCTTGATGTACATCATTTTTGATGTTGAAAAGTTTGAAAAATGTGCTTTTATTGACATTTTAAATTATTTAATGTGATGTATTATATGGTTATAAACTGGTAATAAGCTGCCAGTTTTTTCTTTTTGTTTTTTTAAAGACTTAGTTTTCTATAGATTATTTATTGTACAATAAATTGTTTTAAATTAAATTGTTTCCACTAGAACTAGTAATAGTCACTTTAATAAATTCCATAGAAAATTGCAAATTTTCATCATCAAAAGTTGACAGAGCAGAGATCAACATCACATAATAAAATTCACAACTGTAAATACACAGAAAAAAAAGTTAATTATGAAATACGGAAAGTGTTAATTATCGGTTATATTTTAGTGTATAATAAATTATTGGATTTACATACCTATATCAAGGTATTATTATCAACAGCTTACAGCTATGAAAACCTGTTAGCTGCAAATCTATTAATTTTTTTATTTTATTTTTATATTTATTTATATATTGTACAGGGATTATGAATAAGAGCTGTATAAATATATTTGGCATGGTAAGCTGCACACAGGTCGGAAAGATTTAGCATTACAATTTCATTTTCACTTAGAATTTAGGATTATTATTCAATTTTTAATTATATTTGTTTTTTTCACAGAACTGTGCTTTGACTGTGATTTCAGACATTTGTCGGCGATTTCTCAAAACCTGTTGGCGAGCCAAAATCGGGGCTAAAATCACACAGTCTGAACTAGGCATTACAGAGATTAATGTTTTATTTAATATTACTATTCATTTATGCTTTTAAATTGCACGGTGGGACCTTGATGTACATCATTTTTGATGTTGAAAAGTTTGAAAAATGTGCTTTTATTGACATTTTAAATTATTTAATGTGATGTATTATATGGTTATAAACTGGTAATAAGCTGCCAGTTTTTTCTTTTTGTTTTTTTAAAGACTTAGTTTTCTATAGATTATTTATTGTACAATAAATTGTTTTAAATTAAATTGTTTCCACTAGAACTAGTAATAGTCACTTTAATAAATTCCATAGAAAATTGCAAATTTTCATCATCAAAAGTTGACAGAGCAGAGATCAACATCACATAATAAAATTCACAACTGTAAATACACAGAAAAAAAAGTTAATTATGAAATACGGAAAGTGTTAATTATCGGTTATATTTTAGTGTATAATAAATTATTGGATTTACATACCTATATCAAGGTATTATTATCAACAGCTTACAGCTATGAAAACCTGTTAGCTGCAAATCTATTAATTTTTTTATTTTATTTTTATATTTATTTATATATTGTACAGGGATTATGAATAAGAGCTGTATAAATATATTTGGCATGGTAAGCTGCACACAGGTCGGAAAGATTTAGCATTACAATTTCATTTTCACTTAGAATTTAGGATTATTATTCAATTTTTAATTATATTTGTTTTTTTCACAGAACTGTGCTCTGCAAGAACCCAGCCTTGACTGCCATTCCAATAGATTTGCCAAATGACACGGTGAAGTTTCGTCTGGAGCGCACCTCTGTTTCCAGGATATTTAGAGGAGCTTTCTCAGCCATGCCAGAGCTGCTTTATTTGTGGCTTACATATAACTCCATCTCCGTCCTACACCCAAGAAGTTTCACAAACCTGTCCTCCCTACATGAGTTACGACTGGACGGGAACCTGCTGTCCACCTTCCCCTGGGAAGGGCTCAGGGATATGCCCCGTCTGCGAACTCTTGGACTGCACAATAACCGCCTGGCACGAATACCACTCCTGGCTGTCCGCTACCTTAGAAATGTGACTTACCTGGATCTCTCGAGCAACAGGCTGAGCACTCTGGCCAATGACCTGACGGCTCTCTGGCTGTTCAGTGACAGCAATCAAACCCAGCGCTCCTTTGTTTTAGGTAAAACATTCACATCCCGTTTTAAACTACACCCTGGCCCTGAATTAGCACCCATACTGCCTCCATGGAAACAGAGAAACCTCAAATGTTGTAGACTAAGGGTTTGTTCAATTCTGTTTCTAGACGGCCAAAGTTCTGCTGAGAGTTTGCATCCAACACACTTATTTTGCCAGGAAGTATTTGGTGAGTCTGAACATAATGAACAGGTGACGGACCCCAGCATGCACAGGATGTCATACATGACGTCAGATTGATTTTTTTACCCCAATGTGGTGGGACATTGCATTTTGTTTGGAAATAAAAATCAGGTTGCCGTCTGAACCCATCGTCAGGCCGATTTCAGTGTCTAACGTTGGACAGATGTTGCATTTTGGTTACTTTTCCAAATATCAACGTCTAATGATGTTACAACTTGGCGTTGTGTGAACGGTACTATGACACCTATCAGATGTTGAGTTTTGGTTGCCATACCTGATGAACAAATGTCAGTATTTTACATCAATGTGTCGATAAGATGTTGGCATAAGATGTTGGCTCGACCTTGGATTTTGGTCAACCGAATATCAACATAATTTCACGACGTTATTGGATGTCAAAATAACAATGTCCTTAGGTGACCTACGGTAAATCTAACCTGATATTTGCGTCTTATGACATTGTGTGTCTGCTGGGACTGCATCTGTAATCCTTCAACTTGGTCGACTTTTAGTCCAAAAGTTAGAATTAAAATTAAAAACTCAAAAGTTACTTAGAATAGTGTTATGAATATAATTAAAAAATATTTCTTAGTTAATTCATAACCCACAGGCAAACAGCAAAAACACTAAAAAACTAGTTGGCCATTGTATTTAGAATGTTGGGACTGTTGTATTCAGACTGCCCCAACAACTGCCACGCATAATAATTATAAAACTAATTAAATGATTTTAATTTAACAAATGGAAAAATGTCTTACAGTAAGCCAGTAGCATTCCCTGACTGGCCTTTAAACAACTATAGCAGCCAAACTGTTCAGCACACAGGCAAACATAGACACTACCAACGTCAGTGACACCATCAAGTCATTAATATCTCATGGTAATGAAATACATACCCATCCTGACTGGTTTACACAAACACATGCGTGATATCAGTGTGATCTGAGAGTCTTCAGTCTTTTGATGGCTCACTGCGTTCCTACAGTGGAAACCAAAGCCTACTTTGATTCGCCGTGCTTATGTAATCTGCAAACACCTCTGAAGACTAAATAGCTGTTTCCATCTTTGTTTTAAAGTGCATTTCAAGTTTCACATTAGAAAAAAAAACAATGATAGAAATGCCAAATTAAAAACGAAAACACTTGTACTGAAAAATAACAAGGCGGCACGGTGGCTCACTTGCATCACAGCAAGAAAGTTACTGGTTTTAGTGTCAGCTTGGCCAGTTCATTCTGGTGTGGCAACTTATGAAATAGAAAAAAAAAGAATCAAAAATAAACATGTTTACCCTTTAGATGGCCTTTGACTTGAATGAAAAGAGTTAAATGCAAGGAATACTACTAGTAAATGCAAAGTTTGCACCAACACAATTGTACTTGACATTCGCTCACCCTCAAATGGTTCTAATCGTTTATGAGTTTACTTTTCCTTTTGAAAACAAACATATTTTTTGAAGCATGTTGAATATAGCTAGCCATTTGTTTTCATATTAGGGAATGGAGGTCATAGGCTTTTATTTTCCAGTCTATTTCAAAATATCTTTATTTGTGTTTAACAGAGAAAATAAACTCATAGGTTAGCACTAGTTACGTAACAAGCTCTAGTTAGTGCTAACGCCTCTTAGCAAGAAGGTCACTGTGTGGAGTTTGCATTTTGATCCCGTGTTTGTGTGGGTTTCCTCTATAAGTTTAGTTTGTCTGCGACTATTTGTCAATTGCCTGCAAATACATTCTCAGAATCGAGAAACAGTTTGGGTTTTTAAGCCTTTAAATGCTACCTTCTCTGTGATGTCGTAAGCACTATATTACTTTTTGGTTTCTCTTATCTGATTGGATGTTGTGAGCACGTTATTTTTTTTCCATAACAGCCAGTACAACGAAGAGATGGCAACATTAAATGATGATGCAAAAAGAAAACATTTGTTTTTAACTTCTTTAAAGCTGACATTGCGAGGTTACACCAAAAAAAAAAAAAAAGAAAAAAGAAAAAAAGAAGTGATGTTTTGTACAGTTTTATCATTTTTATAATATTTAGATTGTAGATTCACAAACATTTTTTTAAATTTGTGGTTTAGCAATAGCTATTCATTTTTTTTTTTTGGTTGGGCCAGTGAAAATATTGGCAGGGCAAGTAAAAATCTGAACCACTGGTCCAATCGGGCCAGTAGAAAAATTCCTTAGCTTTGAACCCTGCTGTTCCTGGAGAGCCACCTTCCTGCATATTTCAGTTGCAACCCATATCAAACACACCTCCCTGTAATTATCACGTGGTGTTCAGGTCCTAATTAATTGGTTCAGGTGTGTTTGATATGGGAAGCAACTGAAATCTGCAGGAAGGTGGCTCCCCAGGAACAGGGTTAGCCACCCCTGTACTAGGCTAATAAAAACATTTTAAAATACTTGTTTTTACTTTTTTAAAACAAGTTTAATAAAATTATTACAAACCTTCAAATTATAACTATCAACATTATAACTAAAACAACATTTGATATGTGATTCTAATGTGTTTTGGGACACATTCTATTATAATGTATTGATTTTACTTAAAAAAAAAAGACCAGTAGAGAGGCAAAAAGATCAATAGAGTTTCCATTGAAACCAACACAATTTCCTTTTTTCATTCCTTTTGTCACTCATTTCATTCCTTTCACAGGTCTTCAAGACAATCCCTGGGTCTGCGATTGTCGGCTTTCCACCTTGCTTGACATTAGTCGAGGCCCAGAAAGCTCTCTGGTCCTGCTGGACCGCTTCCTGACATGTAGTGAACCTTTGGATCTGGCTGGAGTTCCCTTTCAGAGTGTAGAGCTCAGCCGATGCCGCAGGCCGTATGTGGTGACGTCTGCCACAAAGATCACCGCTCTGCTGGGCAGCACTGTCCTGCTCCGCTGTGAGGCCACAGGACACCCGACGCCAGCACTCATGTGGATCAAATCTGCCAAACGCAACCTTTATAATCAAGGTATCATCTTAAATGCTAGTCTGGTGTATTTTCATAGATGTCAGTGTTGTTATTGTCAGCTGAAATGTTATAAAAATGAAAAACGTTTAACTAAAATTTAAAAAGTATTAAAAATATTTTGATTAGATGAAATAAAGCTGAAATAAATCAAATTTTAATATGAAAAACATAAACTTACCTTAAATAAATATTGTGTTAGCAATTTAAATAAAGCTACTTAAATAAATATGTTATTTAATTGTAAAAAAAAATATACGTAAAAATTGCTAAATCACATGACAAAAAAATATAATTAATGAGTTAAATAATTCAAATTAATAATTCAAAATGCTACGCAATGGTATTTTACTAACATTTAGCAATACTTAACCTGTATGTGCTGTTGGGGATGTTTTCATCCACTATGACGTGATTTTGTGTTTTAATTTGGCCACAAATGTTTTTTAGCTAATGGAATGATTTTGGGTGACAATCTTGTTTTTGCACATATTTGTTTCCAAAAACTCAAACTTATTACACTTAGGGCAAATTTACACTTTCAGTTTAGTTTCAGTTTCCTTTATTTTTGTCATTAAAAACATCACAATAAATTCTAATGCAGAACGAAATTACGTTGCATCAGACCCAACAAGAACATAAAAAAACATCAAACACTATAAATACTTAACATAAAAAATTAACTTTTATAATTTCCTATATATATATATATATATATATATATATATATATATATATATATATATATATATATATATATAAATAAATATATAAATAAATAAATAAATAAATATATATATATATAACCCAATTTAAAAAAAATCACAAAACGGAATAAATTAATACCTAAATAACTATTGCAGAGTTTGCCTAATAGTTATAATATTAACATTTTGTGCTATTTTAACTATGTATTGATTTATTATTTCATACTAGCTATTCAAAAGTAATATACGGTAGTTAATATACGGTATTATTCAAAAGACTTATAATGACAGGATTAAAAACTATCACGAATATCGCCGATTTGCTCCTCAGGCTTCTGTAACGCCTGTCTGATGGCATGAGCTTGAGCAGACCAAATGGCCAGGCTGGGTTAGATCCCTTAAAATGCTGTTTGCCCTAGACAGACAGTGTTGCTGATACATTTCCTAGAAAGGTGTCATTTTGACTTCAACAGACCTTACAGCTGACTTTATTATCTTCTTAATGGTGTTCTTGTCAGATACGCTGCTATTTTTATACCAAAAGAGAGATGCCATTAGTGAGAACACTCTCAACAGCTCCTCTTTAAAAGTTTACTATCCTTTCCTTATGTTTGTGGCTGTTTTTGCTCCATTGACATCCATTATGAGGACATTTTTGGATTGCAAAGCCATGACACCATATAATTTTAATAATAATATGGTGTCATGGCATTACAATCATTAAATGTTATTGTAAATGAAATCAGTGAGGCAAAAACAGAAATGAACGTAACAAAAGTAGTCAGTTTGAAACAACACAGAAGGATTAAAATAAATATAATAGTAAAACTAACACTGACCCACAATTTGTCTGTTTCTCAAATGTTCATTGTGTAATTTAAGTGTAAACATTTATTTTAATTACATTCTTTAAGTAATTAGATATATTTTTCATATTTTATTCAATTTGTTTTGTTTTTACGAACATTTGAAACATTATTTTTCAAAGCAAGCTTTCATTCATTACTAACTAACAATAACGTTTTATTAATGCACTGTGAACCTTTATAGATATCAAAAAATTGTGTTATTAAGTTGCAAACATAAGTTATTGTGTGTAATTTATTTAAATGACAAATATGCTATCTAAACCACTGTAACTTCAGTGGAAAATGTCAGATATTTTGTTTCCAATAAAATACACTTACATATGTTTCAAGGTTGTTGTAAGCAGACACAAAGCAGCCTGGATACTGAAAGATTTCCCAAAAAGCTTTTTGGCTGTAAGTTAAAATAAGACTTTTGTCACACATGTAGTTATTGCATACTTAATTTAAACCTTTGTGCTTAATATTTTACAAAGCACAATGGTGCAAATGTTTTACTAGTTAATGAGCTAGTAAATTGTCATGTAAGTGTGTCTGACCTTTCTTCATCTGCTTTAATGATTACACACATCTCTGCAGATGTGCAAGAGTCTCCTCGTGTGGGGGTCCGATGGTCTGTGGTCAGTCTAAACGGGATCTCCTATAGTGATGCAGGAGAGTATCGGTGCAGAGCGCAAAACATGGCAGGCATTTCAGAGGCCGTCGTCAGTCTGAATGTGGTCGGGGTAATGGCCGAATATACAGACTTCAAAAACTCCGACCAACAGCAAACTACCACAAAATCAGACTCTAAACGGACGAAACCCAAGCAGAAATCTAAAGCGATGATGCCTCGAAATATGACCGGTTCACTTTCTCCTCTAAAGAGAGTCCTGAAAACCCCCAAAGCTGGCAGAGACAAAATGAAAAGGGACAGGACAGCTGTACAGAAGCTGTCCCACAGACACTTTCTGACTGCTTCTGATGATTCACTCCTTCACTCTCACGCTGACAAACACCTCTTGTATTGATATTAATTCCAACCTGACCCGTCAAATTACAACATGTTTTGTTTAGGAAGTTACTTTTTTACCTGAATGAAGGTAAATGTTGTGTTCATTTCATCAGGTTTCTTAAATGTAGTACTCAGCAACGATCACAAGATGGCACCTCTGAGCTAAAGAAGCTACACGACAAAAGCAGCGTACAGTACAGAACGTTTTTGAACGGTATGTTTTGCCCCTTTTCATATTAGTACCAGGGGCGTTGCGAGGGGGGGGCTTTGGGGGCTTAAGCCCCTGATGTATTGTCAAAAGCCCCTGATCTCTTGGAATATGTTGCACTTAAATAAAAATATGTTATATAACATTTATTTTGTTATGTAAGTACTAAAAATTACCACATACATCACGAACATTCCACTTAACGCAGCGTTTGTGTCAGGTAATTAAACCGTCAGTTGTTCAGCAGTACCTGTTTCTACCGGCAGGTGGGAGTGGCTCTGTTGTCACATGGTGTTTAAAAAATCCCGCCACTGCACATCATTCATTTATTATTTTGAGGAGCTGAAGCTAATGAGGTAATAATACAACTCTTTCGCGAAACTAAATAGTTTTAACTACTGATGAAGCTTGTTTCCACAGTATAAAATGTGTGTAGTTTTGGTGACATAAAATAACTATAATCAGTAAAATGTGCATCATATCAATGTAAATACAAGTAAAAAAAAACGTAAATTGTACTAGCTTTCTAGATATGATATATTTATATGATATAGCAAGTCACATCTGTTTCTGTAATAGTTAAATCACAGTGAGTTTATGCATCTAGCTTATTATTATATAACTATATTCTACTGTAACATGCTATGTCAGTTTGAATCAAATTATAAATCGACTTTCTTATGAAAATGCCTAAAATGGTTGGAAGAACACACAGTTGAAGTCTGAATTATTAGCCCCCGTTTATTTTTCCCCCCAAATTCTGTTTAACGGAGAGAATATTGTTTTCAGCACATTTCTAATCATAATAGTTTTAATAACTCAACTCTAATAACTGATTTATTTTATCTTTGCCATGATGACAGTAAATAATATTTGACTACGTTGTTTAAGACACCTCTATACAGCTTAAAGTGACATTTAAAGGCAGGTTAGGGTAATAAGGCAAGTTATTGTATAACGATGGTTTGTTCTGTAGACTATAGGAAAAATATATAAAATCTTAAAGGGGCTAATAATTTTGACCCTAAAATGTTTTTTTTTAATGTAAAACTGCTTTTATTCTAGCTGAAATAAAACAAATAAGACTTTCTTCAAAAGGAAAATATTATCAGACATAGGCTACTGTGAAAATTTCCTTGCTCTGTTAAACATAATTTGGGAAATATTTAAAAAAGAAAATAAAATTCAAAGGAGGGCTAATAATTCTGACTTCAACTGTATAAAACATTTATTGTCGCAGTCGTGTAAATGATCAGTTAAAGCCTTTTTATTTTTATTCAGATCATATTTTTATTCTACTACAGCAACAGCTGGATGCCTTCATCCATATTAGGGATTTCCTAGAATGTTCTACTCCTTTTTTGAAGAATATATATGGAATTTCTGCTCAAGTATGAATAAAACAGGCTTTACATGCATTTAAAGTGCTACAATGCCCACATCACCCTATTTTGAGGAAAACTGAAAAAAAAATCCCTCTGAAGAAATTTAAAGTAAACATATTTCTAGCATATAGATCTTTATTTTTATTTTTTGTAGCCTTAGCTAGCCTACTATTTTTGATAGAATTGTTATTATGTAAAGAATAGTAGCCTATTGAATATCAATATTTTGCAAGGTATTGAATTTAGAAATTCCATTATTTTGACAACACCTCAGTTAATCACTCTGTCCAAATGAACATGTTTGTAGCTTTGTATCACATTAGATAACAGCTCACACTATAAAAATAAATCATATTTTCAGATTTGAAGACATGCAGAAAATTAAATTTTCAAAAAACAAACAGAAACTTCAAATCAGGAGGAGATAGGAGGCTCAAGAGGTATGATATGGCTCATTACAGACTAGTTTTTTTCCTATTTGGATTTTACAAGTCTTAAAAACCCTTTATTTATTATTAACCATTTTTAATCCTGTTAATAAGATTAGAATAGGTATATTAGTGCGGTGAATTAAAACTTCTTTTTTTTGGGGGGGGGGGGGGGGGAGGGGGGGGGGGGTTCTTTGGGGCTAAGCCCCTTATCCCTTTCGACCCTAGCAATGCCCCTGATTAGTACCATAATAAAAGAAAATCTAGTAATATTACAATTACTGTATATGATGGTCTCGTCCATATATAACTAAATAGGGCCTAATTTTTTATAACGTGTATTTAATGATCATAAAGGCTATAAAACAACAACTGAATAAGCTGGTTAGGTAGGTTTTGACACATGGGGGTTTTGAGCTGGTTAAGACCATCTTAAACCAGCAGCCATGACCAGCAAAGAATTAGCTTAAACCAGCACTCATGTCAAAACTTCCCTAACCAGCTGTTTTTGCTGCAGGGTTGATCTGTGGATTGCTTGTCTAGTTTCTTCTGAAATGACAATTACATTTTAAAGTAATGATAATAAAGTAATGAAATTGAATTTAGTGAGAAGTTGTTTATCTTAACACTTGAAACAATATTTGTGAGATTATTGATTCTCCCAGATAAAGGTCTTACCTCAATTGTTTCCTGTCTTTATTTTATAAATAAGATACCATGAAAGCATCTCACAAAGGGATGACCGTTTTAATAATATGAGGCTGATGATCATCCAGATACTTGATAGATCTTAGTGAGCTTACCGTGTTGCTGCTCTGTTGATTAACAATTTGGCCTCATGACAATTTTGCTAACATCATTTCTTCTGAAATGATGTTTATGTTGAGTTGCATAATAAAGTTGTGAAATTCTGGGAGAGATTATTAATCATAATAGCTAGAACAGCCTCCCATCTTCATGAGATCATTGATTCTGTCAGATACAGACGTCACCTCAGTATTGATGCTATTAAATGGTTTTATGATATAATAACTATTATGTCAATGATAACCAAGCTAACTCTTTCATATTTAAATTAGCTCCCTCCTGTAAAGATTAAATAACTGATTTCATAATTCAGTTTAGTCAAATATTATCTTGTACTGAGAATTATAAGCCCAACAGCCCAAAACTCCCCAATACTGCCTAAAATCTATGTATTTGTATGTCAGAGTATGTCTGAATTCATAGTCTTCATAAAAGAATTGACAAAAATAGTAGATGTGCATCTGATGTACACTTTTCTGTCCCATGACTCCACACAGGAGAAGATTTGTAAATCAAACTGGCACTGGTAGGTGGCAGATGTACACTTTTGTGCTATAGAAAGTGCTTTTATAGAGGTCGCAATGTAATTACCTACTCTTAAAAGATGATAAAATAAAACAGATTTGGTGATTGGAAGGGGTGATGGTTTAAAAGGACCCTCAAACTCACACGAGATTGTCATCACACAAACATCTGGCTAAAAGGATCAAAGCATAATTATTCTAGTGTCCACTTTTCGGAGCTTACATTGAACTGAGATTTAGTAGAGATGAGTTATTTGTGGATTCTATATTTGTCCTGTGATGCCATGCAAGTTTTTTTTATAAATAATATTTTCCATGGCAGACAATATTAGTTAACTAGATTTTTAAAGATGTAAATGTAATATAACATTGTTTGAAATAATGCAATGTCTGCTGCTTGTACCTACATCCCTCTGTTTAGTTGGCCCTGATCGCAGCTTCAAAGTATAAAGTGTGGGCACCTCAATTCTAAAGGGCTCAAAACACTCCTCTTGCTATATGTGAATAGAATCTTTCCAGTCGTTCATTATGCTGACTGTAAATCCCGTCATGTATAACACTATGTTTTGAGGATTTGAAAGTTCCATGACTCTTGCTGGAGGACATGGAGGTTCCACTGATAAATGAAGGTTTCAGGATTTAGAAAAAAGGGTGAGTATTTAATTACAGAATGTTTCATTTTGAGTGATTTAACACTTTAATGAATGTTAACTTGAGTAAACTTGTGCTGCCAACAGTGCCAACCCATGAAGACATGGACTCTACCAGACCTTTGAAGGTTTCCTTTGACTCCAAGCCAACAACTGGAGATCTTTTAGGTCTGTTAGGTTCCAAGGTGGAGCCTAAATTTGGCTGCCAGATCAATACCTTGAAATCTTCATCATGTTCTTTAAAGATGCAGGGTACGTTACCCTGCTAAAAGACCTACTTCCGCCTAAGAACATCATTATCATGACCTGTATACCTGGACTGGAATTATGTTTCGTTAGTTAACATATGTTATGCTTATGTCCACAGGAAAAAACAGATCCAGAGCTTTCGAACATTGACCAGACAATCACACACTCGGCCTCCACCAGCTTGTTGTCATCATACAGTGCATCCATGTGCCATCACTTCCCCCAGGTAAACAGTGCACACGAACACAGCTGTGAGCTCACGACATATCGGTCATCATAGACACTCTGACTGGTCTGTGGCCACATATACTGCACAACAGTGTTCTGATCTGTGTATTGTATTACATTTGTGTTACACTTTCTGCTGGCGTAGACCAGAGAGGATGGCTTTTGTTGTCCTTTTTTGTTTGAGCATTGAGCATCCAACAATAGTCTCCCTCCTCTGACAACTGTTGGTAAATTGTCAACACTGCTAAACAGGAGCAACATTCAAGCCTTTCTGTTTCAGACATATACTGACTGTCCCAGTGGTCTAGAAACAAATTTTGAGTCTTGGGAATGTCACTCAGGGTGTACTCACTCTAGGCTATCCAAAATATACCTGAGCGCGTTTGACCGGCACTGGCCTTTCTGGAGGAGGTGGGCCAGAGTATGGTTCAGTTGGGCTCTAGTGTGGAATAAATGTAGTGTGTGTGTGCAATGTTTGAGCACAAAACTTAAGATGTAATGTCACTTTTAAGAGACCATTCCTTATAGATTTCATTC